CATGGCTGCTCCCACTCCACCTCACTGACCTCAGACCCCCCCCCTCGAGCAGGCAGGACCCCTATGCCCCCCTCTAGCAGCCGAGCTGGGGTATCCCATGTCCCCAGGGATGTGGCCACAGGGTGCCCCCCTTCCCCACAGGGGCAGCACTGTGGGGTTGTTACTGTGGAGTGTCCCCCCTGGGGTGGTGGTCCCAGGGGTGCCCCCACAGAGCTGTGGGAGCATGGGGGGCCCAGGGATGGGCAGGGAGCAGGGAGAGGGGCAGTGGGGTGAAGTAGGTGGGCAGTGGGGACCCCTGTGTGGGCAGCAGGGTGCAGGGAGGGAGTTGGGTGCAGGGAGGGAGTTGGGTGCAGGCAGGGGGGTGCAGGCAGGGGCAGCAGGGGGCAGGGGGATGCAGGGGGTGGGCAGCCCTTACCCTGCCGGATGGAGACGTATCTGCCGTTGGCCGCCGTGAACACCACCTGGGGGTGACTCTCCTCCAGGTCAAAGAGTTCATCCTTGCCCGGCTTGGAGCTGCGGCCGGATTTGAGGGTGCCGGTGGGTCCGGTGGGCGCCAGGTACTTCCCGTCGCAGTCCTTGAACGCCAACTTGCCGGCCTTGAACTCGAGGGTGTAGCCGGTGCCGGCACCGGGCTCGGGCACCAGGGTGCCATCGCAGCGCAGGTACCGCTCGTCGGCCGTGCGCAGGCTGTACTTCTTGTCCTGGAAGCAGAGGGTGATGAGCGCGTCCACCCCCCAGGGCAGGTTGCTGTCGGTGGCGATCTCGTCCTCGTGGGCGCTCAGGTGGGCGTAGCGGCGGCGGCTCACGCTCAGCAGGTTGGCCTGGGGGTGCATGGCCAGGTGCACGGTCCACAGCTCGCCCTCCGTCACACTGGGGGCGAAGCAGGACAGCCGGTCCTCGCGCCCCCCGAAGAAGCGCCGGTGCGGGGCCGACTGCAGCGCCCAGCGCCCGTCCGACTGCGTGATGATGCTGAAGCCTTCGTCCCGGCCCGGCTGCTCCGCCTCGCAGCGCACCTTCCCGTCCTTGTCGGCGCCCAGGTACCGGCCCAGGTGGCTCTTGAGGAAGACGATGGAGCTGTCGGCTTCATCCTGCTCCAGCGTCCAGATCTGCTTGCGCTTGAGGCTGAGCGCCGAGGCGTTCACCTTGTAGCCGAAGCTCTCTGCCGTCAGGTACCGGCTCTCGCAGTTGATCAGCCCGAACTGGATCTTCAGCACCTGGTGGATCCCATTTGTTGGCATCTTCCGCCGAGGCGGGGCGGCCCCCGGGGGGCCGGCGGGGGCTCCCCGGCACTGCCGAGCCCGGGCGTCGCGGCGGGGCCGGACCGAGCGCCCGCGGCGGGGGCGGCTGCGCTGCCCCGGACCCACGGAGCGGGACGGGGCCTGGGGGGCTGCGACCCGCCTGGGCACCCTCAGGTGGGGTTAGAGACCGGCCGGGTCACGGTGGGCACCGGGGACACCCAGGCGAGGGGGCACCGCGGCAGCCCCCGGCCACGCCACCGTCCCTCGCCGCGGCCCCGTCCGGCTGTGGCGGAGCCGCGGGTGGAAAACTTGGGTGGGAACCCGATCCGGGCCGGCGTATCCGTTCCGATGCCGGCGGGTTAAGGTTACCGGTCCCTCTGATTCAGCAGCGGGTCACCTCCAGCCGCGCCGCCTCCCGGCCAGCCCCTAAGCGCCTTTTCCAATTAGCCAGGCATTTTGATTAGTGTAAACCTTTTATCCTGCTTTGGGGCCCTTGGCCTCCATCTGTCCTGTGGCCCCAAATCCCTTCTGCAGCTGTGGATCGGGGTCACGGACACCCCCAGCCCCCCCTGGAGCCATCCCGGGGCGTGGGGTCCTTCGGGGCTGAGACCGCCAGGAACTCATGACAATGATGAGGGTCCGGCCCCATGATGGGGGCAGGAGGTGCAGAGACTGGGGGGGACAGAGGTGCAGGGGACAGGCCCCACTCCCACCCTGCAGGCACTGAACCCCAGCCCAACTGGGACCCCCCAAACGGGGCAGGTGCAGCCACAAAGACCTCCAGCCTCGGCCACGCTCCACCTGGGCCTGTCAGGGACGGGCTGTGCCACCGCCTGGGCCCCCCGAAGTGCTCGGACCCCCCGTGCTGGGCTCTGGCCACGTCCTGGTGATGCCGCCCTGGTTCCTGCCACCATCTCCCCGGCCCAGCAGCTCCGGTGTCAGCCCCGTGCCCGGTTATTGTTCCCACAAACAACCCCAGCTTTGGTTGCTCATGACTTTTTCATGCCGGGCTGGCTCTGCCCGAGCCGGGGGGTGCCGTGGCCCCCCGAGCTGTGACACCCGAGCCGCTGTAACTGACCCCCGAAACGGAGCCGGCTCAGCTTTCAGGCCCTGGCGGTGGGGGATAAGTGGGTCAGGGTCCCAGGGGGCTCTGGGGGGGCCGTGGGCAGCTGGGGGTGGTAACACGGCTCTCAGTGGGTGCCCGCTGGCACCTGCCTGGCCGAGCAGCCGGGAGCAGCATTTATACACCGCGGCCCCCCCCGGCCCCCCGGCGGAGTCAGGTTCCCTTCGGGGGGGCCCCCTGGGCGCTGCCCCACAGCCACAGCGTGTCCCTGCGTCCCCTCGGCCTGGGGACAGCCGGACCCCTCCCCACTGGGGGCTGCTGAGACCCAACACGCTCGTGACAGGCCAGGGCATTGCAGGGGGCTGGGGTGGGTGACCCCCCCCGGGTGGGTGCCGCCCCTGGTTCCCATCTAACACTCTTACCAGGAGGGATATGGGGGTGCTGGGCTGCCCGGGGGGTCCCCAGCCTCCAGCCCTGATGGGGGGCTGGCAGAGGGGAGGTGGAGGGGGCTCAGCTGTGCCCCACATGCCCAGGGGGATCAGGGCAGGGCTTTGGGGTGGGGGTCGCAGGGGGGGGTCAGGAGGGGTATTGGAGTAGTGGTGGTGGGACCCCTTCCTGGTTTCCATCCAACAGCCTTCTCGGGAGGGATTTGGGGGTGCTGACCTGCACCCCTGGTGGGGGGCTGGCAGAGGGGTGGAGGGAGCTCAGCCGTGCCCCACCAGCCCGGGGGTGTCAGGGCAGGGGTTCGGGGGTTCTGGAGTGGTATTGGAGTGCTGGGTGGTGGAACCCCCCCATCATCACTCCTCACGTGCACACTGGCAGCGCGGAAGGACGGACGGACGGATGGACGGGCACCGGGCAGCGGGGCGGGGCGGGGGTAGTGCCTTCCTCCTCCTCCTCCTCCTCCTCCTCCTCCTCCTCTTCCTCCTCCTCCCGGCCCTGCCCCTCCCTGCCCGGCCCTGCCCGCCCTGAGTCACGGGGAGGGGCGGCGCCCTCGGGCTGCTCCGGTGCCGGGTCCGGGCGGGGGGTCCCGCCGGGGTGTCCCCCGGGACCCGCGGGATGCGGTGTCACCTGCGCAGCCCCCCTGGCCACACCCCTCGGTGCCCCCCCGGTTCCACCACGGCCCGGCGGGACACGGCGCTGGCACGGGGGACACGAGACCCCTCGGGCTGTGCCGGGACCCCCCGGGACCCCCATCGCCCACCCAGGGCCACCCTGAACTCGCTGCTGTTGCTGCGCCCCGACAGCCCCCTACCACCCATGGCGGTGGCACCGGGAGCTGCTGGGAGGGGCTGGGCAGGCAGTGGGAATTCTGTGGGACACAAGGATGGTGAGGCCGGTGGCCACCGCTGCCATGGGCCTGAGTGGCACCGAGGGGCCAGGAGCTGGCATGGGTGGCTGGTGCATGGGCCTGTGGCACAGCCTGTGGCTACCTGGCATGGTGTGTGGCTGCCTGATATGGTGCATGGCTACCTGACACGGTGTGTGGCTACTTGATGTGTTTGTTACATGGCTACCTGACAGGACGCGTGGGCCTCTGACACAGTGTGTGGCTACCTGGCATAGCACCTGGCTAGCTGAGATGGTACATGGCCACCTGACACAGTGCATGGCCACCTGACACAGTGCATGGCTACCTGGCATGAGGCGTGGCCACCTGGCCTGCTGTGTGCCCACCCGGCCTGCACAGGGACCCCCCCACACCTGACACTGCACAGGTGGAGCCATGGCCGTGACCCGCCGTGGCTTGGGGGCTCAGGGCCCGTGGCACCCCCAGGGAACGGGGGGGCTTGGTGTGAGGAGCCCCCCAGGCTGAGTGGGCTGGGGAGGGGCCAGATTTGGGGCTGGGGGGGCTCAGACTGGGGCGTCACTGGGGTCACTGGGGTGGCAGCACTGACTGGGGGGTGTGGGGTGTCTGTGGGGTGCAGGGGCAGCACAGCCAGGCCTGTGGGTGCTGGGGGAGGCGTTGGGAGGCCAGGAGGTGCCTGTAGCCCTGGGGGGCACCCCCAGATGTGAGGTGTCCCCTGTGGGGCTGCAGTGGGCACAGGGGTGTGCAGGGCAGGGTCTGGGGTGCAGCGGGGGGCGAGTCGGGGGGCACCAGGGATGCCCAGCCCGGTGCTGTGGGCAGGGTGCTGGTGCTGGTGCTGGGGGGGTCTCAGGTGCCGCGGGTGGGGTGTGAAGGACCTGTGGGTGGGGGGTCCTGGTGCTGTGGGTGGGGGTGCAGGTGGGTGGGGGGTCCCAGTGCCAAGGCGGGGGTGCAGGTGCCGTGGGCAGGGGTGGTGTGTCCGGTGCCCGGGCGGGGGGGGGTCCCGGTGCCCGGGTGGGGTGCACGTGCTGCCCGGGGCGGGGGGCGCGGTCCCACCTTCGGGGTGCGGGGCCAGGCCCGGTCCGGCCAGGCCCGCGGGGGCCCGGCCGCCCCGGAGGCGCTGCCGGGGGGGTGCCCGGCGCTGCCCGGGGGTGCCCGAGCCGGGGTGTCCCGCCGGGATCGGGGGGTCCCGCCGGGGCCGGGGGTCGCCCCCCCCGCGGCCCCCCCCGCCCCATGCAGGTTCCGGGGTGCCGAGAGGGCGGGGCCAGCCCGGCAGCCGCCCCACGTGGCCTGGGCCGCGCCGACCAATGGAAGCGCGTGTTTCTGAAAGATCTCCATATATGGCGATGTTCTCGGCCGGGAGGGTGGGGCCGTCGCCCTCCGGGTATAAAAAGTCGGGGCTGGCAGCCGGGCGGTCTCACTCAGCCGGCGGCACCGGACCAGGCGGCACCGTCACCGCATCGCCCACAGCAGCGACCCCCGCGCAGCAGGTACCGCACGGCCCCGCGCCGCGCCCGCGCCGCCCCTTCCCCCGCGTTCCTCGGGGGGTGCAATGGGGGTTTTACGGCGCTCGGTCTCGCCCGGCCCCGCGGTGGGCTGCGGCCGTGTGGGGTGTCCCCCCACGCACCCCCCGTTCCGCGCTGGGATGGTCTCGCCCGTGGGTCCAGGCAGGTGGGGGTGTGCGGGGGGGCGCGCCGCGATTGGTGGAGGCGGCGGGTGACGTCAGCGCGCGGGAGATTCAAACGGGTAATTCAAACGGGAGGGACCATCGGGGCGGGGGGGGCCGGGCATGGCCCGCAGCCAGCGGCTCCTCCCGGGGCCGCGGCGGCCGCTGACCCGGCCCTTTCCCTTCCCTCCCTCCCCTCCCTCCCTCCCGGCGCAGCCTCCGCCATGGAAGAGGAAATCGCCGCCCTCGTCATCGACAACGGCTCCGGCATGTGCAAGGCCGGGTTCGCCGGGGACGACGCGCCCCGCGCCGTGTTCCCCTCGATCGTCGGCCGCCCCCGGCACCAGGTGAGGCGGGCGGGGGGCGCGGGGCGCGGGCCGGGCCGGGCCCGGGGCGGGGGCGGCGCTGACTCACCCGCTCGGCTCCGCAGGGCGTCATGGTGGGCATGGGGCAGAAGGACAGCTACGTCGGGGATGAGGCGCAGAGCAAGAGGGGCATCCTGACCCTCAAGTACCCCATCGAGCATGGCATCGTCACCAACTGGGACGATATGGAGAAGATCTGGCACCACACCTTCTACAACGAGCTGCGTGTGGCCCCCGAGGAGCACCCGGTGCTGCTCACAGAGGCTCCCCTGAACCCCAAGGCCAACAGAGAGAAGATGACGCAGGTACCGTGCCCCCCCCGCCCGCCGGCCCCCCTCACTCATCTTCACGAACCTCCTTCGTTACATCTGAAACCTGAATATTTTGTTCTTTTTTTTTTGTTGTTTTGTTTCTCCCGACATTTTCAGGGTTCTGTTCTCCTGGCATTTCTCCCCTGACGCCTCAGGTTCTTTCATTTGTGTTTCTGCCTGCATCCTTTTTGGCTTTCCCTTCACACACCGGGTTGCTCTGCATGCCAAGCATGTGTGTTCTAACACTGAGTGCACACGCCCAGCTGGGGACCTGCTGCTAATTGACTCTTCTCCTCCTTCCAGATCATGTTTGAGACCTTCAACACCCCGGCCATGTATGTGGCCATTCAGGCCGTGCTGTCCCTCTACGCCTCTGGCCGCACCACAGGCATTGTAATGGACTCTGGGGACGGTGTGACCCACACCGTGCCCATCTACGAGGGCTACGCTCTGCCCCACGCCATCCTGCGTCTGGACCTGGCCGGCCGCGACCTCACCGACTACCTCATGAAGATCCTGACAGAGAGGGGCTACAGCTTCACCACCACGGCCGAGCGGGAGATCGTGCGGGACATCAAGGAGAAGCTCTGCTACGTGGCCCTGGACTTCGAGCAGGAGATGGCCACGGCCGCCTCCTCCTCCTCGCTGGAGAAGAGCTACGAGCTGCCCGACGGGCAGGTCATCACCATCGGCAACGAGAGGTTCCGGTGTCCGGAGGCCCTTTTCCAGCCTTCTTTCCTGGGTATGTGTGGGGCAGGGTCAGCTCCAGGTGGGGTGGGGTTGGTGGGTGGTGGAGGGGAGGGGTTCAGGGTGTGTCACCAAGAGGTCCTGAGTGGTACATACTAAGGACCTGTCTGACACTAACAATGTGGTGGGTGGGCACTTAGGGGTCCTGGGTTAGTAATAACAAGCTGCTTTGAGGCAGAAAGGGGGCTGGGTGACACTGACAAGGTGGTCGGTGGGCACTTGGGCATCCTGGGTGGCACTAACGAACCTGCCCCTCTCTCCTCCCCACCCAGGCATGGAATCCTGTGGCATCCACGAGACCACTTTCAACTCCATCATGAAGTGTGACGTGGACATCAGGAAGGACCTGTACGCCAACACGGTGCTGTCTGGAGGCACCACCATGTACCCCGGGATCGCCGACAGGATGCAGAAGGAGATCACGGCGCTGGCCCCCAGCACCATGAAGATCAAGGTGGGACGGGCTCCAGGGGGTGAGGGATGAAGGGAAGGCTCTGGCTGTGCCCTGACCACTGTTCTCTCCCGCAGATCATCGCCCCGCCGGAGCGCAAATATTCCGTGTGGATCGGCGGCTCCATCCTGGCGTCCCTCTCCACCTTCCAGCAGATGTGGATCAGCAAGCAGGAGTACGACGAGTCCGGCCCCTCCATCGTGCACCGTAAATGCTTCTAAACGGACTGCGGGCCCCGCTGCCACGCCCGGGAGCTGTGCCCAGGCATCCATACACCTCATGCCAGCCTCCTGCAACTGGAATAAGCCTTCTTCCAAAAGAAATCCTGCCCTTGGGAAGTCTGTACCTGATGTTAGACACGTGGATGGGCGCGCTGTCACTTGATTTGACCTTGTTGTAACCGAGTTTAGCCGCTCCCCGAGCTCATACCCTGTACGGATCGGGCTCCCTGGGGCTCCCTGATCCCGGGATTTCCCCATCCCAGGGCCCCCCCACACTGACAGCGGCCCCGGGACCGCTCTGTACAGGGTATTTGGAGCCAGAGTTTGCCGTACATCCCGTGTGGAATATTCCAGGTTTCCTGTAGAGGCTGGTAGGAGTCCATCGAGAATTTTTTTTTTTTTTCTTTTCACCGTTTCTAGCAAGGTTGGGAAAAAAAAAAACAAACATATCGCATCCGAGCCTTACACCCTCCTCCTCCCCCTCTTCATCCCCCTCCTCCCCCTGGTCCCATCGCAGGGCTCGAGTCCTCAGCTCTGAGTTGCTGAAACTCTGCATTTACACCTGTAAATTTCTGCATTTTAATTTATGTCAGATTTTTTTTCTTTTTTTTTTTTTTTCTTTTTTTTTTTTTGTACGTTGCCTTAATGTTCTCACGTGACGGTAGAAAAAAAAACAAACCAAAATTTGTTTAAGAATCATCCGAAAAAAGTTGAGAAATTGTAATGCCCAACAAACACTTCATTGTGTAAGGAAAATAAAATGGAAAAAAGCTGCAGTAACTCCTGCTGGGATTGTGTGTGGTGAGGTGGGGAAGGGGGGGATTGGGTGGGAGCTTCCCCAGGAAACTGGGGTGGGGTTTTGGGGCTAAAAATAGGTGTTTGGGGGCCAAGAAGCTGGATTTTCTTACACAGGCTCCTGGCTACTCTTCCCCGTGTCTGTGGAATTGCAGGAGTCCTGCCCACCAGCTGAGGCCCTGCCTCGGGGTCTCCAGCCCACCCTTGCCACCCTGCTCCATTGCTCTGGGACTGAGGTGCCCCATGTCCAGGGGTTGGGATGTTGGGGTGGGTGGGATTCACTCCGGGGATACCCTCAGCCCCTGGGGTTGGTGTCCTCAGGACTGGACACGGTGGGTGGCTGAGGGGACGTGACACAGGTGTGTGTGAGGACCCTGCAGTTGCTGTTCCCATTGATTTGGGGGTGCAAGTCCCTCTGGGTGGGTGGGGGTGTCCTGCCCCCCCCTCTTCGTGGACCCCCACAGCTCCTGTGCTCCCCCACTGCCCAGCACCTGCAACTGCCCACCCGTCCGTCTGTCCACCCATGTTCTGCACCTGTCCCTCTGTCTGTCCATCCCTGTCTGTCCTCCCTGCCAGCTCTGCTCCCACCCTTCAGCCCTCCGCATCTGTCTGTCCATCCTTCCAGCCTCCTTGCATCCATCTGTCTGTCCAGCTGTCCATTCCTTCCTGTGTCCATCTGTCCATCCACCCGTGTCCATCTGTCTGTCCACCCTGCCAGTTCCTCACCCGCTGCCCGTCCCTCCCTGCCCCCGTCTGTCCGTCCAGCTGTCCATCCCTTCCTGTCTCCCCGTGCCCGTCTGCCTGTCCATCTGTCCCTCCCTGTGTCCGTCTGCCTGTCCAGCCACCCTCCTGTCCCTGCACCAATCTGTCCGGCCTCCTCCCTGCCACCTGTCTGTCCGTCTGTCTGTCCCTCTCTTCCAGCAGCCGGCTGTCTGTCCTGCCGCTTGCCCACCTGCTCGTCCGTCCTGCCAGCCTCGTGTCCGTCTGTCCATCCCCACCCCTTCTCTGCTCCAAATACCCCCCCTGTCCCCCCCCATGTCCCCCTGTCCCCCCCCATGTCCCCATGTCCCCCCATGTCCGTCTGTCCCCCCCATGTCCGTCTGTCCCCCCATGTCCGTCTGTCCCCCCCCATCGGTCGCTGTGTCCCGTCTCGGCCGCCAGGGGGCAGCACGGCCCCGCGCACGCGCCCGGCCCCGTGCTCATCGCCCCCTGGCGGCCGAGCCGGGCAACGGCGGCGCGCGGGCCCGGAGAACAAAAGGGCGCCCCGACAGCCAATGGGAGCCCGGCTCGGCCGCTCGGCTCCCACTGATTGGCGGAACCGCGGCCAATGGCGAGGCAGTGCTGCCTGTCCGTCTGTCCCCACGTGGGGGTGGAGAGAGTGCAGGGGGAGCGCGGGCCCTTCCTGATCCCACCCTGCATCCCTGATCCCACCCTGCATCCCCGATCCATCCCCTGCATCCCTGATCCCACCCTGCATCCCTGATCCATCCCCTGCATCCCTGATCCATCCCCTGCATCCCTGATCCCACCCTGCATCCCTGATCCATCCCCTGCATCCCTGATCCCACCCTGCATCCCTGATCCCACCCTGCATCCCTGATCCCACCCTGCATCCCTGATACATCCCCTGCATCCCTGATCCCACCCTGCATCCCTGATCCATCCCCTGCATCCCTGATCCATCCCCTGCATCCCTGATCCCACCCTGCATCCTTGATCCATCCCCTGCATCCCTGATCCATCCCCTGCATCCCTGATCCCACCCTGCATCCCTGATCCATCCCCGCATCCCTGATCTCATCCCTGCATCCCTGATCCCATCCTGCATCCCTGACCCCTGCCTCCATCCCTCATCATGCTTCCTGTATCCCCCATCCTGCTGCCTGCATCCCACTGACCCTGCCTGCATCATCCTGCAATCCCAGCTTGCATCCTGCCTGCATCACCACCTGCATCCCCCCCTCCCTGCCTGCATCCTGCCTGCATTTCCCCCATTCCTTCCTGTATCCCTGCCTGCATTCCCTGGCAGCAGGACCGGGTGCCACCAGGATGAGGGTGGCAGCAGGACGCGGTGCCCAGGGGTCTCTAACTCTGCCCCCCACCCCATCTCCTGCCCACGCCAAAGCCTGTGAGGGTGCTTTGGCGGTAGGGGGGTGCCCATAACTGGGGGTGCCCAGAGCCAGGGGTGCCCAGAGCCAGGAGTGCCCACAGCGGTGGCTGCACGGGGTGGTCGCAGCAGAAGGGAAACTGAGGCAGAGCCGAGAGCGGAGCCGGCGCCAGCAACGGTTCATATATTTATTCATAAGCCAAGTTATCCATAAAAAAGTTCCATAGTAAAAGGCCTTTACAGGAGTGGCGGCTCATAAAACCTTTGTTTAACCCTTTGCTCCTTTTTTTTTTTTTTTTTTTTTTTTGTCCTTTCGGATTTTATTTTTTTTTATCCTGTTTTGTGGGATTTTTTTTTTCTGGTTTAGTGTTTACACTGGAAAAGCCCCTGTACAATATTTTCCAGGCAGCGGCGGCGGGACGGGCCAGCGTCCGCCGGCCCCGGGGGGTCCCCATGGTCCCCCCACGGCCCCCCCCGGGGTCCCCCCCCCGCGGTCACCCCCCTATTGCACTGGGGACGGTGGCGCTGGGCCCCCCGCCCGGGCCGAGCCCCCCGCCCTGGCCCCCTCTGTACAGCGCTCCCCGCTGTCCCCATCCCCACAGGCTGGGGGACACAGTGCACTGAAACGACCCCCCCCTTCCCACCCACCCCCTCCCCGAGGATTATTATTATTATTTTTTTGTGGAGGGTTTGTTTTTTTTTTGACCATTTTTGCTTTTTTTTTTTTTTTTTGTCCTTTCTCGGTTTTCCATAAAACTTCCCGGAAGAAATACAATATTTACAGGCAAAATAAATAGAACAACACACCTGATTTCTGCTTCACCTGCTGGCAAACAGTCAGAGGTACTAGGGAAAGTTATGGCTTGTAGGGGAGCCCCCCCCACCGTCCCCCTTGGGCCCCCCCAACGCGCCCCCCAATGTCACCACGGGCTTTGCATAAGAGCCGGGCAGGACCCGCAGAGGGGTCCCCGTCCCCATCCCTGGGGGGGTCAGCAGAGGGTGGGCACCCCCAGGGGGGTCAGCAGAGGATGGGCACCCCCAGGGGGGTCAGCAGAGGATGGGCACCCCGTCAGCGGTCACCAGGCGGCCCGTGGTGGGGTCGTAGGTGCCCGCCAGGTAATAGAGGTCCTGGCGGTCCTGGTACCTCCGGCCCCGCGTGAGCTGCTCGTAGTGCTCCCGCCCCACCACCTGGCACTTGTGCGAGATGGTCTGCACGTCGTTCTCGTCCTCGTGGCACGACTGGTACAGCGCGTTCTGCGGGGACAAGGCACCGTCACGGCCACGGCACGTGGCCACCTGGTGTGGCCACCTGAGGTGGCACATGGCTACCTGAGGTGGGACGTGGCTATCTGGCATGGGACATGGCTAACTGGTATGAGACGTGGCTACCTGGCATGGGACACAGCTGGAATGGTGCACGGCCGCGTGACGTGGGACATGGCTACCTGATGTGGGACGTGGCTACCTGACATGGCAAGTGGTACCTGGCATGACATGTGGCTACCTGACATGGTACACGGCTACCTGAGGTGGTCTGTGTCTACCTGGCCTGGTGTGTGGCTACATCACAAGTCACGTGGCTACCTGGCACACTGTGGGGCTACCTGACACAACTCAGGGCTACCTTATATGATGTGCGGCCACATGACATGGTACATGGTTACTTGACATGGTATGTGGCTACCTGGCCTGGCACAGGGTTGCCTGACACGACGCGTGCCTACCTGGCACAGTGTGGGGCTGCCCGGCACGGCTCACGGCCACCTTACACGGCGTGTGGCCACGCGACATGGCACATGACCGCTTGGCACGACGAGTGGCCACCTGACACCACAGCCCGGCAGAGCTGCCCCTGCCCCACCCTCACCTTGCCGTCGCTCTGGCGCTTGCCCAGCTTGGTCTCCTCGGGGTGGTAGAACCACTTGACCTTGACCACCATGTTGCTGGCCCAGGACTCCCACATGCTCTCGATGCGGCCGATGTAGGGCAGGTTGGGCCTCCCGGCCGACAGGAACACGGCGCAGTCGCCCACGCGCAGCGTCTCCTTGCCCCGCACGATGGCCTTGTAGAACAGCTTCCGCGCCTTGCCCTTCATGCCGCGCCGCTGGGGGGGACACGGGCTCAGGGGGGGCACAGGGACCCCCAAACCCGCCACCACGGGGCAGGGGGAGAGCAGCACCGAGGGCGGGTATGCCCACGGCACCCGGGCAGTGCCCTGTGCCTGAGGGACACAGCTGGTGTCACCAGTGCCCAGGGAAAGAACAGGCAATGTCACCAGTGCCCAGGGGACACAGGCAGTGTCACCAGCACCCCTGCATCTGTGTGGCACAGTTGGTGTCACCAGCACTGTGTGCTGGGCAACCACATGTTGCAACTGCTGTCCCCAAACGTCACGAGCTCCTTTTGCTGGGCACCTGAGTGCCAGCATGGGCATCCACATGTCACAACCGGTGTGCCCAGCACCCTGAGCACCTGTCAGGCACCCCTGTGCCCCCCGCACCCACACCCCCACACCCCAGGCACCTCGCTCTGTGCACCCCTGTGCCCTGCCAGGCACCCCCACACCTCTGCTGTGCCTGCTCCTCCCCTCCCAAAGCGCACCCAGCAGTGAGTGCCCATGGCTGTGCCAAGCTCTGGGTGCCCATGAAGGGGGGCAGGGTGGGTGCCCGCCTTACCTGCGTGGGGTTCCCCGACCACCTCCAGAGCTGGCGCGCGGGCAGGAAGGCGGAGATCTTTGGCCGATTTTCCACCGAGGGCAGGCGCTGCCGCCGGGAGAACTCTTTGGCTTTGGCGAAGCTGAGGGCCTCCTTCCGCTTGAGCTTGGCCTTGGGGCCGGCGGCGGCCGCCTTGGACAGGAAGCAGCGCTGTGGCGCGGTGC